CAATCAATTAAATAAGTTTCAATAATTTTATTAGTTATATTGTATTTATTTTTCTCCAATATAAAAATTCTTTACATTAGAATTCATCAATTAATTATATTCGCTACAATCTCTTTATTAAAAAAATTATTCATTATCAATAAATTAATTAAGAGAAATAATTTTATTAGTTATATTGTCATTATATTTCTCCAATGTAAAAATTCTTTACATTCAAATTCATTATATTCACTACATTGTCTATTATCTTTTTTTGTGCACTATTTTTTAATTTAATATCAAAGTTATAATACAAAATAATGTTATATATTTATTTACCAAGTATTTTATTAATACCATGAAAAAATTAAAAAATATAATTAATAAAGCCAATCATATTACCTACTTGAGGGGTTTGTTGACAAGAGAGTATTCAAATCACACAACAAATTGAAGTGAGAACTACCTCGCAATGTCCTTGTTTGACAATCAGCAGTTAGCGGTTAGTATTAGTAGATTATATTAGAGGATTTGACAGCGAATTATATCAACGGTTGTTAAAAAAGATATTTGAAAAAAATTGACTGTTTAGATTAGCATCTATCTACTATACTAATAAGAGCCCAAGAGAGTTAGGCCTATAATGGATAGAAAAAATGGCGGTCAAATTTTTTAATCAAATGAATGGCTCAGATTGATCAGATTTTAATTTTTCCTTAAGATTTCCTAATTTATCCTTAATGAATATGATTATCTGTTAACTTTTTCGTTAAATATTATCTTTTCCGTTAATTTCTGTTAGTTCACAGTTAACTTACTCATTGATTTCAATAAGAATGGTCTTAGGTTCGAACCTCATCCCAAACAAAGTTGGCATAATTAGTACTCTATTTTACTCTTATTAAATTATATATATAAATAATAATTTAGTAGCTACAACAAAAAATTATAGATATGCATTTCTTTAATTTAGAATTATGTGTCCACAATGCCTTTATTCAAAAAAAAAAAATATTCATTATCAATAAATTAAATAAGAGAAATAATTTTATTAGTTATATTGTCTTTATTTTTCTACAATATAAAAATTCTTTATATTCAAATTTATTAATTGATTATATTCGCTACATTGTCCTTACAATGTCTTATTTCAGTGAAAAAAATTATTCATTATCAACAAATTAATTAAGATAAATATTTTCATTAGTTATATTGTCCTTATTTTTCTCAAATGTAAAAATTTTTACATTCAAATTCATCAATTGATTATATTCACTACATTGTCTATTATCTTTTTTGTGCACTATTTTTCTAATTAAATATCAAAGTTATAATACAAAATAATGTTATATACTTATTTTCCAAGTATTTTATTAATACCATGAAAAAATTAAAAAAAAATATAATTAATAAAGCCAACCATATTAACTAGAGAGATTTTGTGACAAAGAGAGTATTCAAATCACACAACAAATTGAAGTGAGAACTACCTTACAATGTCCTTGTTTGACAATCAGCAGTTAGCGGTTAGCGTTAGCGGATTATATTAGCGGATTTGACCCACGAATTTATTTAATTATTAACATTGGGTAGAAAAAATGACCGCCAAATTATTAAATCAAATGAATGGTTCAGATTGTTCAGGTTTTAATTTTTTTCTTTTAAGTTTTTCTAATTTATCCTTAATTATATGATTATCCATTTAACTTTTCCGTTAAATACCATTAATTCACCGTTAGTCTAATTCTAATATTAAAGTCTAATATAGAATTATAACTACACCATCAATCTAATTCTAATATTAAAGTCTTAATAAAACTTAACCACAAATCCTAATGTCGAAATCTCCTCAAACAATATTAGTATATATTTAATATTTTATGCCCTAATTTTTATTTGTTCTCCCTTATGTCCCGTATTTGGTTTCAACCATACCTATACAATTATTTTATTGACAATTATAATCAATCTTGACTATATTATCTTGCATTTGTAAACTTAAAATTACCTATTTAACCCGCACGGGCTTAGCTCAATGGTTAATTTAGTGGGCAGTATTTGAGAGAAGAGACCAAGGTTTGAACCTCGGCGGCGACAGTGCGGGAATTATGTCCAAAGTGGGCAGATTGCTTGTGCGCACCGGCATTTGGTCCTGTCTGATAAATCATTGAGTCACCGTGATTTACAACTTCCCACAATGCTCTGTCGGGTCGGAGTGTAGGGACCCTTGGGGTTGGGGACTCAACCTTTGGGAGAAGAATTACCTATTTAAATACGCAAATTCAACCTTCAATTATCTATGCATGAACAATTTCAATATAATCTTGCCTTAATATACTTTAAAGTACTTATTTAAAAAAAAAAAAAAAAAATATTGGGCATTATCACAATCGCGCAATGCGCGTAAAAAACTAGTATATATATAATTGTTCAAACATAAGGAGCGTTATATTGTGCAACTGTATGCACCATGCAAGGTGCACACAAAATTGAATCCATAATTTCTATACTATAGATCTATAATTTCTATACTATAGGTCCAAAACTTCTATACTATAAATTCATAATTTTTATATTATAGATTCATAATTTCTATAATATAGATTCATAATTTATATATACTATAGATTCATAATTTATATACTGCAGATTCATACTTTCTAAACTGTAGATTCATAATTTCTATACTATAGATTCATAATTTCTAAACTGTACAGTTATCAAATTATGAACATATAGTTCAATGATTTGTGAATACAGAGTTCAACAATTGGGAATATGAACATTGAAAATTATGAACATAGAGTTTTGTAATTATGAATATAGAGTTCAATAATTATGAATCTATAGTATAGAAATTATGAATTTATAGTATAGAAATTATGGATCCAATTCCGTGTGCACCATGCATGGTGCACACGGTTGCACAGCAGAATTTGCCCAAACATAAGTATCAATTCATTTTGAATCTTATGACCAATATAATGATGATGAATATCATGATTTTTAGCACGTGAAAATTAGCATCAAACAATTTTTCCTTGGCATCATCCTTTTGTAAAAAAAAAAAAAAAATTATATATATACACATACAGTACAACACGACCTACTGTATAGCAGCAATTATACTGTGGACCGCGGTCCACAAAGCTTTGTAGACTATAGTTCAAAACGGCAGACACTATAGTGTATCTAAACTGACACTGTCTCACGTATTATTTTTATTATATTATCAAATGAAACTGCAATTGAATTGAAATGAAATTGTAGTTGTGTTGAAATGAAACTGCAGTGCATACAAAATGAAACTGAATAACAACTTCATTCACATATTTGAGTGTATATTGTCCATCAAAACTGTAATTATATTAAAATGATATTGTAGTTGTGTTAAAATGAAACTGCAGTGCATATTTGATGCCTAGACCATAATGCATTGTGGACCGCGGTCTCCAGTATAATTTGCACTATATATATATATATATATATATATATATATATATATATATATATATATATATATATATATATATATATATATATATATATATATAGAGAGAGAGAGAGAGAGAGAGAGGGGCTTCGAATCCGGTGCAACCCCTATGATACATGAGATCATGAGATCATGAGATCTCATGATATCCATTGATTCATTTTCGATGAAAGGTTGAGATTATAAGAGATTCTTAAAGTTAAGGATATATTGAAATCAAAAGGATTAAATAGTAATTGTAGTTATTTGTTTAATTATGGACATAATTGAATTAGAATCTTCAGCACTTTATTAGGGAGATTATGAATGGAAATTGATATTTAGAATTATTCTACCACCTCTGTTGAACATAAAAATTGCGTGAAGAATACAGTGGGGTGAAAACGAACGGGTGCAACTGCAGAAACAACCAAGGAGCACACTTCAAGAATGACTTGTAGCAACACAGGTATGTGCATATACGTGTTCAGGCGTGTGCATATGTTGAGGAAATGGGGTGTGTGCGTTTTTGTATAGGTATTTGCATTGTAGTGGAAAATAAGAGCTGAGTAGATATAGTATTGCACATGGTGTAAATTTTTTTATTGTACTTCAATGCGTAGGTGTGTGCATGTTAATAGTTAATGCTATTGGGGTGTGTGCACAGTTTAGGTAAAAGGTATGATAGTGTGTGCATTGGTGTAGTATGGCATGTGCAAATTATAGGGCCTGGGGACTTTGCATCATGTCAGTTTGTTTTTTTTTTTTTTCTTTTTTTTTTCTTTTTTTTGTACGTGACTTCATGTCGTTTTTTTGTTTTCTGTTTTTTTTTTTAGAATCTAAAAGCACTTGGTTTGTGCGCCACTTCATATCTTGTGGGCGTGTATGGGTATATGTTTTTGTTTGTTTGGTGTGTCCGTTATTTTACCCGCGCATGTGCATAACATTGTGTTTTATGAAGGCATTGCAACAGTGAGCGTGCATTTTTGCTTTTAGGTTTGTGCAAGTTTATTGCAATTACGTAACCAACAAAACCCAACTATATGAATCTGCGTTTTGTATAGGCTTTTGCGTAGGTGTGTGCATGAATTAGTGGTAGCGTGTGCGTTAGCCTGGCAAAGGAACTTTGCATCATGTCGTTTACTTTTTTTACGGTGGTGTGTGTATTCGTGTGGTATAACCTTTGCAAATTTCTGGCAATGGGATTTTGCATCCTGTTGTGGTCTTTTTAAAAAAAAAAAAAAATTATTTGTGATGGGATGATGGTTGCATTTATGTAAGTGGGTGTGTGCAAAGTCTAAGAGTGCTTTGATGAGTTGTGGGTGTTTCGTGGGGGGCGTGTATGGGTATATATTTTTTGTGTGTGCGTTACTTCATTCGGGCTTGTGCATAACAAAGAAAATTTCTGGAAGAAGAAGAATTGTAGCTAGTCTAATACAATTTATACCTGGAATGTTTTTGTTAATTAAACTCATCATAGCTCACGTAACTTTTTATTGAAACAGTGATCACAAATAAAATAAAATCTGCCCCATTCCAACTAATAATGTCAGTAAACCATGATACAAGGTATCCATTGCAATAAACCATAAGAGAGACAATATGTTAACAATTTAACTTATGAATTCAGTTTTATATGTCGGGTGTCCACTGAAAGCTAAAGCTCAAGAATGACAAGTCTTGAGCATAAAACTTAAATGGTGTGACAAATGGAAAAAGGGAAAGCTCAGAACATATGCATAGCCTGAGCTCAAGTTATTAATTTAATTTTACAATAGCAAGCTTCACATCACATACTGGTTCAACTCTAAAAATACAATGTTGCCACCTAGTGAATTTGTGAAGGATTTTGTTACTGTCAGAAGTGAACACAAACCATTCTATTGCCCAAGAATAAATAGAAAAATGAAATTAGGAGTAATGTTACAAATGGCAATGTTTCAAAACCTTGGTCCACGCATACTGGTTCAATTCCAAAGTAGGGATGTCTCCATTGGAATTTGCATAAGTAATTCTCAAAGGACCTTCAACAAAACATAAACGCCAGGCTTGTTTGAGAGTTTTAATAATGTAAACATAAACGATATACCACACCTATGCACACACCATGGTCAACATCATACTCACTCACCTAATTCACCAATGCACCCACTGCACAATACACATGCACACACCTAAGTCATTCATACTTCTACCTGAAATTAAATCCAGACATGCCTCTCCTAATTTCTACAAGATTATTCCATATTCCTTACAGGCTCTGTATACCATAGTTTGCAGGAAAAGAAATTAAAATTAAAGTATCAAACACATAGTTTGCATGAAAAAAATATAGAATTAAGAATTATTTGAAGTATACTTAAAGATAGAAAATAATCATGCTGGAAGAAGTATATTCAAGTCAGAAACAACACAAATCCAGATTTTTTTTTTTTTATTAATTGCCTCTTGCCCTTCCCCCATGAATCAAAGAAGTTAATCTATCATAAAACAAGTAAATTAGTGGTATGAACTGATGCTAAACTAGAATCAAATAAAAGAACACTACCTTTTATACTCAGTCCATGTTCCATGAGCAAACAACCGAAGCAAGTCGAGGTAAATAGAATTCTCAGCTCCTTCGAGCTGCATACATAAATCAACAACTATGAATCAAAAATGAAAAAATCTAAAATCACCACAACTAAATTGCAAAACTAAAATAATATGTTATGGATGAATAGTATGTAATTTTAAAAAATATATAAAAAATGCAATGGGTCATATGTCGGGTTGGAAACCTCTAGAACGTTGAAAACGGAGAGAATCTCGGAGAAAGTGAAAAGAGAGGGATGAGAAGTGGCATCCGTGACGACTGTGGCTAAGGCAGAACCTTTGAGGGCTGACAATTGCTCCACGAAGTACTCTATATGCTTCGCTTGCCTTTCTTCAATATCCATCTTCCAATTTCCAATCTTCTGCAAACAAATAAAATTAAATCTGTATGTGGATGATGACTAACAATGGCATTTCATTCTTTACTTGTTTCTTCTACAGTGTAAACCAATTTATTAAAAAAATAATAAAATATGAACCCTAGCAACAAAACCCTACATTGGTACTCAATCAACAAAGCACAAACGACGACCACTGCCGGCGCCAGAGGCCGATAATGCCAGAGTACACATCAAAGAACTACAAACCCAAGAGAAATACAAAATCCTAAAACCCAACCCAAATCCCTTCGCAACAGAGCAAACCCACAAACCCCGCAGAAAAAAAAACCCCCCGAAACAAACAAAAAAGGGAAACAGAAAAAATAAAGAATCGATGAACATAGTACCGGTAGTGAAAGCAGAAGAAATGCCCCTAAGCCGCTTAGACTGTCTCCTGTTGGAACCAGACATGAAGAATACTCGGATGTCGTGGATACCGGAGGGATGAGGCGACCAGAAGAAGAGCGGGATGCGAAAATGAAGAGGCTGTGCAAAAAAGCTCTAGAAACCGAGTGCAAGTGGAGAGAAACAAAAAATCACTCCTATTTTATCCCACACAGGCAAATTAACGACAGAAATAAAGACTTCTCATAATAAAGACAAAGATGAATTACAAAACAACCCTTGCCTACCTATAAACCCAGCGCACATCTGTTTAGTTACCACACCATCTGAACCGTTAAAAAAACAACATCAATGATCAGGGAGTGTGCTTACGAACTCGGCTAACTAGGGGGTATGCACCGGATTCAATATATATATATATATATATATATATAGAAGAGCGCTCATATGCGGCGGGGTCTTACGGTGCGGCGGTGCGGTCAAATTCCAGAATACACCAACAGTGTTAACAATATGCACCAACAGTGTAATAAAAACACACCCCAACGAAATGTAATAAAACGTCACAAAATACACCACAGACTCAAAAAAACACACCATATAACTCACCACCCCCAATGGTGTATTTCCGAACAGTGTATGGTGTTTTTACTCACACCTAATGGTGTGTGTTTGGTGATGCAGGGCTCTGTTTACTCTGTTTTGTGTGGTGTATTTCCTAACGTTGATGGTGCATATTTGGTGAACTATTGGTGTTGCCGCACCGTAAGAAATAACCGCACCGTAAGACACTGCCGCACCTGAACCCAATTATAAAACATATATATATATATATATATATATATATATATATATATATATATATGTTTTATAATTGGGGCCCCCAAAGGGCCAGTATGCATATTTGAGACACTACACGTGTTCATGAGTAAATTATTATGTGGACCAAGGTTTATCTTGTAAGGTAGACCTGAATTCAAAATACATACATACTTAATGTTCACAATTTACATACCGAATGTTTACCATTTTTAAAAGGTAAACTGTGAAAATTTATTATGTAAATTGTGAACATTAAGTATGTAAGTTGGGTATATAAATTGTAAACATTAGCATGTAAATTGTATATATTTTGGAACTCGAGTCCACTTTACAAGGTAGACAGACTTTGATCTATGGTATAACAATTGGCAATTGTTATACCTTGGACCAGAGTTCATATTACATTGTGAATCATGATGCAGAAACTATGTATCTATAGTAAAAAGTTTCTGTACATGTAAACAAATAACTTGATAATTGCTGACACATAATATGATAGCTACAGGTACAGAAACTATCGACTACAGGTACAAAATGTGTCAATTATTGATACAGAATCTGAAGGTTACATAATATGATAGTCATATGTACAAAAGCAATCAACTACAGGTACAAAATGTGTCAACTATAAATGCAGAATCTGAATATTGTTTTTGAATTACGTTCTACAATGTAAAGTAGAGCCTGGTCCATGGTATAATTTGCCAACAATTGGTGTTCATGAGAATGCAACGGATTATGGGCCGTCAAAATAAAACTACATGGGCTCGATAATGTAAAGCCCAATAAAGTTTTCTGACAAATATAACCATTTATTTTGAAGTTAATTTAAATAGTTTTGATATATGTTTTCAAAAAAAAAAAAAAAAGTTTTGATATATTTTGAATTTTGTGTCTCAATTTATCTAAGTTGTTTATACTTCAATTTATTTAAATGACAACTAGATTTTTGTGAGAAGTAGAAAATAAAGAAAAAAAACATACATACTTTAGAATTTTATAATATTTATAAAATTGATTCCCTTTTTTTTTTTTATTATTATATATATTTTTAATTTTTTTAACTATTAAATCTACTAGACATCAATGAGTAACATTTGTTCATACTTCTCACATGAAAGTTTATTCTCGCAATTTCATGGGAGTCGGCCATATATAAAGCTCATGCAAATTATACTATGGACTATGATCCACGTTGCAATGTAAAGTGTAAATTGTTAATAAATGTTAAGTTTTAATGTATTGAAGGTTTACATTTAGACACTATACTTACAAATAAACATTCAGTACATACACTAAAAATGAAGTTTAAAAAAATATATATATTATATGTCAAATTATCCAGCTTACAAGATGGAGGTGCAAAGACAAGGGTGTAGGATGAGATATCCAAGATATAAGGAGCAATTTGCTTGGATAATAGTCTCTCTAGACTCGTATTTGCTTGGATATTAAAGATAATGGTGCACGTTACAAAATGGCACTCTTGGCTCAACGTTTTAATACACATCTTGTTTTTGGATGACGAAGAAATTTGATAACTTTTTTGGGTGTGAATAAATCTGATCTTGTGACTTTGGTTGTTAAAAGGACCAAAATGAAGTGCACATCTTCTCATATTATTGCATATTTATTTCCTATTATTTAATCTCTCATTCCTACCATCCTACGCATCCTACTATCCCAATTTTATAGTGAGTTTGGGCAAAAAAAATCATCAAATGAACTTTTTTTTATTAGTAATTATTTTATCAAATAATATTCATATATTCAGAGTATTATTACATATAATGATTTCTCGTAAATTCTTTGACCCAACACGTATGAGTTAGATAAAACATCAGTTAAAATTTCAGTAAAATTTTTTATTTATATTGTATTACCCTATTAAATATATGCCACAAATATAATGCTATGATGAGCTTATATGACCCTACGGTCCCTACCTATCAGGTCATAAGTAAGGGGCGTATTTAATCTAGATTTTTATAAATTTTTAAAATTTTTTAAAGGTGCGTGGTATCATTTGGTATTAAAGCACACGATGGTCTCTTCACGAAGACTTATGGAGTTTTAATGGTGCGTGGAACATGAATTCAAGGACGAATCCCTCTAAAAAGGAAGGAAATGGTGTAGCCACGTGAACTGTTAAAATATTTTAGAATTAGTTATATTAATTAATTATGATTATTAATTAATAAAACAATACATATTCTAAACAAAATATCTTCACACGATGAATTTTTTTCCCTCTACGTAAGGGATTCTCTCATTCTCTCCCGTAATTAGGGTTTCGATAGCAAGGCAGTTTCCGACGGAGGTTCACGTACGAGCAACACGATCGGCAGGCTTCTCCGTAACACGTTCGGCAGGCTTCTAAACGACGGACATGGCAGCGTCTGAGGCTGAGATAGCGGGGCTGTCGAACAGATGGGCAGATATCGTATTGGAAGACGAGGACGTCGGTGTTGAGGCGCCGGCGGTCGACAATGGCGCAGCGGCGGTCGCAGATTCTTGGGTGGTGGTCGGCCGTTTTCTGACTCAACGGTTGATCAAGGTTGAGTATATGCGACAGGTTATGGCCTCGGCATGGAAACCGGTTAGTGGTGTGCATATCACAGAGCTCCAACCGAAGCTTTTTCAATTTGTATTCCATCACATAACGGATGTCCGAAGGGTTATGGATGAGGGACCGTGGTCCTTTGAGAATTGTACGCTGCTGTGTAGGGAGGTGAAGGATGGTCAGTTGCCAGAGGATATGGTGCTTGATACTGTGGATTTATGGGTGCAGGTGTACAACCTGCCGGTTGGTTATAATACAGTACCGGTACTTGAACAGACAGGGAACTTTCTAGGGAAATTCTTAAAGATCGATGAAAGACAGATGAAGGGGCCGCCCAAAGCTTTTTACCGAATTAGGGTTTGTATGTCTGTGGATAAACCCCTGAAAAGGAGGATGAAATTGATTCGCCGGGACAAGTCTTGGGGATGGGTGAATTTCAAGTACGAGAGACTACATACTTTTTGCTTTTTCTGTGGACTTTTGGGGCATTCGGAAAAGTTCTGTTTGAAAGCTAGAAACTCGACTTTGACTGCTGAACAATATCCTTATGGTGTATGGATGCGAGCTGGTCAGGCAAGAGGACCACAGCCAGTCGGTGAGTCATGGCTGCTAACCGAGGATGATCCACCGATCCGCCTGGAACCCGTGAGGGAGGCGCCGGAAAATCCGGCAGTAACAGAACAAGGCCGAACGGAGGAGGAGGAGGAGGGGGTAACGGCGTTGGCTAAGCGTCGCAGGCAGGATAATAGACAATTGACAGATACGGATATTAGCATGGCAGATAGCTCAAAAAACTTGCATCAGGCGGGCTCTGGTTCCCAGACCCGCCCACAACAATGAGTACTCTGAGTTGGAACTGTCGTGGCTTAGGCAATCCACGGACAGTTCGTGCAGTTGTGGACATGGTGTCCAAGAAGAAGCCTGATTTTGTATTTTTGATGGAAACGAAAGTAGCACGAATACATGCAGAACGTGTTCGTGTTAAGATTGGTTACGAGGGTCTTTTTTATGTTAATAATACAGGCCGTAGTGGTGGTTTAGGATTGCTTTGGAGGAAGAATAATATTGCAAGATTACTGGGTTACTCGAAGACACACATTGATGTGGAGGTGAATATAAGTGGTTTTCCGAATTGGAGAATGACTTGTTACTACGGCTATCCAGAACGTACACGGAGGACTGAGTCATGAGATCTATTGAAACAGTTGGCAACACAATCTGAGCTACCCTGGGTTGTGATTGGCGACTTTAATGATCTCCTGTATCAGTATGAGAAGAGAGGAGGAAATCCACACCCGAACAGTCTCTTACGCGGCTTTGGAGAGACTATTGATCAGTGTGGTTTGGCACAGTTACCAATGAGTGGTAATCAGTTCACATGGCAAACGGGCAAAGGCACTCCTGGATGGATTCAGGAAAAACTAGATAAGGTACTAGTCACTAACCGCTGGAGGGATATTGTAAATGGGGTCATGGTTGCAAATCAATGGACCAGACGGTCAGATCACTCAGCTATTTTCATGGGGATTCGGCAATATGGGAATAGGAGGGGTGGGGGCCGAAGATTTCGTTTTGAGATGGCATGGCTCTATGATGAGGGATGTAGAGCGGTAGTTGCTGAGTCATGGGAGGAAGGAAGGGATAGGGGAGCACAAGATTGTATTGCACATTGTAGAAACCAGTTAACCCGATGGGGGGGAGACCGTTACCATAAGTTTGGGGAAAAGATTGAGCAGCTCCGGAGGAGGCAAGATCAACTCAAGGGATGTACTGATCATGCATCCCTGGATGAGTATAAC